CGTCTTCCTGTACCCACAATGACTGTACTCCTACACCACCACACACACATGTAAGCCAATATTGTACTGTCCCCTTGATAGCCCAGTAAAACTGTACCGGTCGTAATAATATTTAATATTTATTAATAAACCATACTATTTTTAACCATACTATTTTTGCAGTGTTCCAAGAATTAACATGCACTGTTTTTGTCCTGTTATATTTTCTCTGTTTGCGGAATTTTGCACAGTTTTGATTACTTGATTACATGTTATTTATGTTATGTTATTACATGTTACTGTTTTTGCTATTGTGTTACTGTCTATTGTCTTATCTTCTGTCCTATTTATGTACTGCACCTGAGTGACTAATGAGAAACACTTTTCATTATACTATGCACCTGTGTAAGTTTAATGACAATAAAGTTGAATTGAATTGAATTGAATTGATTCATTGGTGACTCTGAAAAAATCCATTTGCCTGACATTGTCCAGGCCCTCTGACACCTGGAAGAGATTAAGCACATTCCCTGTCACTACTCCTGACCAAGCCTGATCCTGCCCGATCCTGCCTGTCGCCTGGATAATGACTTTGAACCAAGAAACTGCTTTGGTCAGTTTTCCCTGATCTGCATCCTTGAGTTTGGAAAGGTGCTTTGTAAATGAAAGCTTATTATTAAGCTCTTATTGATGATCTGACACCGATCCCTCTCACAGGCAACAGACTTTAAAGATAATTCTCATGCACTGACCGATGTCCCTGAAATCAAGAATGACCAACATGGGTTCAGAACAGGTAGGTCTAGCTGAACTAACATTGGTAAAGTTCTTTGAACAAGCAGGAATAGTAATGGACACACACAGCATGCGATAGATTTACAGAAAATTTTTGATAAAGTTCCTCATGAAAGATTCAAATTAAAGGCAGTAGGCAGCTGGGGGACTGAGTCTGTTTAGATTGAGAATTGTTCAAAAGAATACAGTAGAAGTCAGAGGTGAAAGCTCAAACTGCTGTGATGCAATGGGTGGAGTACCACAGGGATCTGTACTAGGGCCACTGTTCTTACTGATTTATATCAGCGATCTAGGTTCGGGAATCGTTAGTACACTAGTCAAGTTAGCAGTTACCAAGATGGAGTTTATAACAAAAGTTTGGGAGGGATGACAACAACCAAACTTAATCAGCCTCAGCTGTCAGTAATTAGCAATCGCTCCTGACGATCCATTCCTCTCCCAAACGCTATAAATACCTAAGAGATCCCTCCCTCCCTCTTTCTCTCTTTCATGTCTCTTGCATCCCCCCTCCACCCCATCTCCCCCTCTGCAACTGCCCCTTGGTCACCCCACAGGTCTCCTTGTCCCTTGGCCGGGAGGGCAGCCCTCAGCCAAGCAGGTTAAGCCACAAATTCGCTCCATGACGCTTTCATCTTGGGTGTTGTCATTCCTAGTGAAATAGGATTAGATAGCACTTTAGTAAATTCAAAGCCAGACAAACACCAGCCAGGTGATTTTTAACGTAGGCACGTTCAGAGCATTACACTACAAGTGGGTAGCAGAGGTATAGGCTATCAATACAAAATGTGAAACTGAGCTGGAAGAGGCTTCTTATGAAAACTATGGTGTTGATGTTGACACATCATTTACATCTTCTAGACAATGTGGAGAATCGAAAAGGCTGAAAGAATGTTAGGATAGAGAGTGAAAGTGTAGAATTTAAATCAGGGGATGTAGTAATGTTGAAAGAATACTATGCATTAGTAAGATCTCATTTAGAATATGGTTATATTTTAGTCTCCACTGATATTATTGCCCATGTGACTCTGGTGCACCATTAAGAACAGCAGCTGGCATTTACAGTTCATTAAAAACCAGCATCTGTCTGCTCTTGGGCAAGTGGTCCCGCGGCTCCCCGCACAGCCGGGCACATCTGCTGGAAGTGACCCCACCAGGTCTTCCACTGGGAATTGGTGTTGGAGGTGGACTGACCCACTTCAGTGATGAACAAAGTTACAAAGACATTACAATCCCAGGCTCGGGTTCTTCACTGCGTCATTTATTTCCGCAATACAGCCTTGATGAAAAAGGTTCTTGTTGCATGTTTTGCAAACCTGTCTCTGCAGATACGGTGGTCTGCAAGCCTCTTAGAGCTGGGCCCCACCAATCAGCTCAGTGCCCTGGTTTCCACACAAACCACAGGCCCGCTTGCAGCCTGCGGCACGAGTGCAGAGCACACGACTGCCGTCTGCCTGGGACCCTGCAGACACCCAGCGCAGCAGAGCCAGAAGGCAGACACAACCGAGAAGGTGTCAATTGTTTCAAAACAACCTAAAAAAAGCATCACGCAGAAAGGCATAAGCTGCCACAGAGCTTGCTGTTCTTTCACTGAAAAAATAGATTATTCTATATTTTAATTCATAGTGCATATTTTGCCATAATGTTTCTAAATGACTATTACTTAGCCCATCACAGCTTACAGACGCTGCCTTTCGAAAAGCACCTCCATTCGACAGAAGAAAGACCAGAGACTAGAAGTACTAGAAATAACAACGACATCCCTGAAGTGCTGGGCGCGACTATCAACTAGATTGTGTTACTTAAGTTGTCGATGGTAAAATAACAAATGACAACAGCAGTTGTTGTTTTCACCACACTAATGATGTATAAAGCTGGGATTCTGTTTCCTGTGGGGGTGCCCTGGTGTCTTCAGAAGGTCGGGAATGAGAGGAGGACATTCACTGAAGGATCTGGTCTGGCCCGAGCCTGAAAGAGCCGTCTCCAGCAGCATGTTCCCAGCTCCCACAGCTGCGGCCATCAGTGTGCTGTTCCTGAGGCGCAGAGGAGAGCAGAGTCTGCGTGCACCACTCCGTCACAGACTGTATCCCCAGAAGTGCTTTAACAGGGAGAGAGGAGTGCTGAGAGTCTGAGTGCACCACTCCGTCACAGACTGTATCCCCAGAAAGAGGGCAGAGGGGAGCTGGAGCCCGCAATCACAGTCTCCCACAGTCATCTTGTCCGAGGGTCTGGCGAGGATGAGGTTTGGGCTCCTGTCTCCAGACGGAACGGGGGTCCCGGGCTGTGGATTCTGTCCTCAAGCGGTTTTCCCCCACTGGCCAGATTAGAAGTGCTGGGATTCTTCCAGCACTCTTCTCCTCCACATGGGGGCCAGAGATGTGGTCCTTGCTTGTGTTGGTCCTCGGAGAGAACAGGAGTTGCTCTGTGGGATGACTCGCAGAGCTCTGGGCGCATGCTCACCATCTCAGTGTTCCCGGTGTGCAGGAGACGGAGCAGGTTGGATATGTTTGCGTTCCCCCCCACCCGAAGCCCAGCTCCGTCCCACGAGAATGAAGGGTCCGACCGCTTGTTCTTCCCTGGTGCTCTAGGTTGATGAACACTCAGTTCTGGGAGGTGAGGGGTGATAAATGTATCATTTGAAAGCAGTAAGATGGGTCTAGACTGGATTGTGGGTTTCTGGTCAGCAAACAGAAAGAGCAACATGCAGCCACTTGTAGGAGCGACCCAGGCTTCACGGCAAGGACACCCTGAGCCAGACTCCCCGCTATGACCCCCTGTAGGAGTGGCAGTAATCTCTGCCCAGATAGAGCAGTAGCCAGCGGCCTCAGAGTGTCCTCAGAGCCAGTGCCCACTATAGCTACCTGTGTAAAGTATAGCTGCCGTCTGAGACAGGATGTGGTCTGATATGAAATTTCACTTTATGTACGCCTACTACTGCACACAATGATTAAAAAAAAACACCACGGTATACATGAAGAGATGGCAAAGTTTTCGCACTTAGGTGCCAAGCAAAAAAACACCTGATATAGTGTTCAGAATGTCCATCCAGGTGTTTGCAGTTTGTGTACTTGTGAAGCTCAAGTTGTTGTTTGCTTTCACCAGTGACCCCTTCTTTCAGGTCTGATGAAAGAGCTTCTCCACCAGGAGGTCTGAGTAGAAATGACGTCGGAATGAGTCACGCCTACGGGTGTTCATACATGAATCTGGAGTTTCTGGGTGCTTCTACCAGAAACGAATAGCACAAAAATATGCCACACCAACCAATAATTGATCAAAACATTTAAATGTAAAAGGACTGTGTTCGCAGTTTCTAACGATTGAAGTTGTAAGTTCGCTTTCCTGTGAAGGCTTTTTCTGTCCAGCACCAGGCGCTGGAGTCCGTGTGACACACACCTCAGGGCGGTGTGAGCAGAGGGCCAGTGCTCAGCAGGAGGCTCCAGTTGAGCTCAGCTGCTCCTTAGCTCGGGTCCTTGAACGTGTGTTTTCCTGTGTCTCGTCTCCGAGCTCGGAAAGCTTTCGGGTGAGTTCACCAAACGCGCCCACTGCTTACAGGTCGATTCGATAACCGAGAACTCGGGGGGTCTCGGCTCGGCAGCTCCAACAACAGCTGTCGTGTCGTGTCGTATGATGGATCGGGGACGGGGGGGGGCTCTTGATTTAACCCTTTGAGAGCTAGTTCAGCGCGAGTCGCTGCAGGAGCAGAACTGAAAACACCTGCAAACACGTCAAGCGCCGTCCCTTGTGTCAGGGTCTGTCGCTCACTGTCATCACTGTCAAACGACAAAACACCCGTCACTTTCAGCCCAGCGAGTCGGCCGGGCTACACATAGCCGGGATAGAGCGCACTTCCACGCCTTCTTTCTCAAGTAACAAGTGACAAGTATTAAATATCTCTTTCAGTCAACTTTACGGACTCCGAATCGTTGGCGAGGAATAACGTCACACCAGGAATAAAGTCAGCTGGTGCCCTTGTGCTGTTCGGGTATAACGTTTTCCGGCATAGCGTTTTTCCGGCAGGTTTACTGTAGCTGCGCTTGACAATACTTACCACGCAAGATCACCTGATTGCTATTTGTATTTTAAGTTACTAAAAACTACGTCATAATTAATTATTATTATGCAAAGGAACAAGTAGAGGTTTATTCCTGCTGAAAAGAGGAGAGAGAAAACACAACGTTTCGGCTGTGGTGCCACAGCCGAAACGTTGTGGTTTCTTTCTTCTCTTTTCAGCAGGAATACACCTTTACTTGTTCCTTTGCAGACTACGCCTGCTGACGCAGCTACCCACCTGAACTAATTATTATGCGGTTTGTGCAGCAGGGGGCAGGGTCGCTCTCCTGGGGCTGTGGCCGCGGTGTTGTTGCACACAGGAGTGACGGCGCCACAGCGCCTCCACGAGGAAACCCGGCCCACGGCCGCCCGCTGTCCCACAGAGCGAGTGTTCCCGCACCGGGACTGGCCGGTGTGCAGATACCGCTGCTTCCGTCACACGCCGCTATATCAGCTGTAGCTCCTGTAGTCCGAGCCTGACTCGACCCACTGCTGGGCCGCTCCTGAAACTGGAAGGTTGCGGGTTCAGACTCCAGGCGCGAATTTGCTTCATCCGACATCGGTCCCACTAAATCCCCGCCAGTGCAACTGAGAGCCGGTTTCTGTGCCTGCGATCATCAATGGAAACAATAAGCCATTAACGGAATTCTGACCCGAGTATTCTGGGTGTATAATTAGCCTGTAAACTGTTGCATGTTAAAGGATTCAAAAGACGAAATGAGCAGCTCTTAAATCAACCGCAGATCACAGAAAGACGCGGCATGCATCTGCCATTCACGTTGATCTATATTTCTGCTGCAATTAAATTTGCAATTGGTTATGATCACGTAAAAACTGAAACTGCCCTGTTATCGGTTTCAATTCAGTTTTTCTTTAATGTTATCAGTGTTTGAAACTAAAACATTTATTTTGGCGGCTCCCAGTCCCGGTTTCACTCCAGCCGAGCAGAAATACCTCAATGGACGCGTATAAGCTGAGTCGGTTTGAAAAAAAGTAATATTTTTAGTAAAGGAAATAAAGAAAGTAAAGTATTTACTGAGTGCAACAAAAGCCCCTCGCTCCGGGGTTGTATTCCGCCGGTGAAATGCCGATAGTGACCAGCCGAGCTGAAACCGGCGGGACGCGGGAATCCTGCTACCGAGCCGGCGAGGTGACGGCCCGAGTCTTCACCGCGCTGTAAGAGCCTGCGCCCACAGGGCTCGGCGGCGGACTCGTCCGGATCTCCTCACGGACAACAGGGCGGCCGTCCAGGCGTTCATCACCGCTTTCTGTGGAGCGGTCCTAGCGTACCAGCCAACCGCTCTTCTGCACAGAGAGGACAACAGCTGAGAACAGAAAAACCTTAGCAAAACAATAGCATATCCGAGCTGTTCTTTCCTAATGGAGTTTGTAACAGGAGTTCGGGAGGGTAGACAGCAACAAGTTCAATCAGACTCAGCTGTCAGTAATGAGCAATTACGCCTGACGTCATTTCCTCTCCTTAAACCGTGCGTGATGCCTTTCTCGCTCCTGTACGTCTTGCCTCCACCCATCTCCGCTCTACAGCCGCTCCTGGCTCACTCCTCGTCCTCTGGCCATGAGGTCAGCCCTCAGCCAGGCGGGTCAAACCAAATTTACACTTTCAGTATACCTAATTTTTGGGTGTAATAATAATAATAACAATAATAATAATAATTGCTAACACTTGTATAGCATTTATATCTGGACACTCCACTCAAAGCGCTTTACAGGTAATGGGGATCCCCTCCACCACCACCAGTGTGCAGCCCCACCTGGATGATGCGATGGCAGCCACAGTGTACCAGTACGCTCCCCACACACCAGCTCTCAGTGGGGAGGAGAGCAGAGTGATGGAGCCAGTTCAGAGATGGGGATTATTAGGAGGCCATGATTAGTAAGGGCCAATGGGAAATTTGGCCAGGACGCCGGGGTTACAACCCTACTCTTTTCGAGAAACGCCCTGGGATTTTTAATGACCACAGAGAGTCAGGACCTCGGTTTTACGTCTCTTCTGAAGGACGTCGCTTGTTTATAGTCTAGTGTCTCCGTCACTATACTGGGGCATTAGGACCCACATGGACCGCAGGGTGAGCGCCCCTTACTGGCCCCACTAACACCTCTTCCAGCAGCAACCTTAGTTTTTCCCAGGAGTCTCCAATCCAGGTACTGGCCAGGCTCACAGCTGCTGAGTTTCAGTGGGCTGCTAGTGGTAAATTGGGTGTAGTTATTCCCAGCGAACTGAATTCACCCAGGAACAGCGGACTCCGCTGTCTGGTCTCGGCCGCACAGTGCCTGTGTGCGTGTGTGTCTTTCCAGCAACCAGACAGTCGGATAAAGAGACTCTGCTGTGGAAGAGCCGTGGGGCAGCTACCCCTGACAGTAACCCTGTTTCACCGCGATATTCATGTTCCACACCCGTGACTGCAAAATCCGTAGAGCCGCGTGTTAATTCTAACCAATAAATATATGTTGTTGTCATCGTAGTATATTCAAATAAAAAAACAATACCAATAAATATTTTTTTTCCACATGCGGTATTAAGACACCAGTCAGGAAACCTCCACACCTGTGAGGAGCGGGCGTACAGTAAATACTGAGCAATGAAGGTTGTGTTTTTTTTTTGACAACCTAAAAAGCATTTTGCGCAGAACGTCTAGCTTTTGTTGTTTTTAAAAACGTGCCGCCGTCTTGTTTTATAATCAAACCGCCCCTGATTTATGGCGACTTCAATCCCCCGGCCTGTTCCATGTTAAACCGCGCAGGCGTGGTACCGGAGGCGCAGGGCTCGACTTCACTCCGAGGAGCAGGGCAAAAGCGCTGAAATCACTCGAATAGCCCCCCGTTGCTCGACAGGAGGCGATCTGTGCGCGATGGAGAGCCGCCGCTGCCGCAATAACATCACATTAGTGGAAATGTGCGGTTGATCATTTCCTTTGCCGTGTCGCTTGCTGCTGTCCTATCCAAGCTGCCCCGCTGTAGGCGTAGTGGCAGATTTTCCGTTGCGCTGTCAGGCTCCTTCAGGTGAGCGGGTTGTGTAATAGTCTTGCTTCAACGAGGGCCGTTTTTTTCCTTTCACGGCAGAAATGTCGTAACTTCACCTTTTGGAAAAAAAGACCAAACAACATGCAGACGGAAATAACATGGCCAAAGACGGGCTCGTCGTCATTTCCTCATGGCCGGTGACACGGGGGTGTTAATATTTCACAACCGCGCCTTCCTTCGCGGGAGAGGCGACGGTCTGACGGCGCCCTGCCAGCCCCTGGTCTTTCCGCGGAGGGCCGACTGCTGCTTCTCCAGCAGACAGTTATTTCACACGTGGGAAGCGTAACGTGAGATTTACAGCTTGCATCCTTCAGAAGGCCTGACGACCCGGGGGGCCCTGCAGCCCTCCTGGATCAGGAGTAATAATCTCCGAGGCTCGCCGGCGCATTTCCTCTCCGCGTGTGCGAGGAAGGAGTCTGCTCGGAGATACTCTCCTTCTCATTATATACACATGTACACCAGGTTTTTCCTCCAGGCACATCGTGCCTTTTAAGACTAGAGGGGACCAGCGCTGCATGTTTGATCAATAAACATGTTGGGCCGTGAAATACAGTCTGCATACGGTCCACATGACCTGTGATGACATGGTCAGCATCTTTGGTGTCAAACAGACGTATTAAAATACCTGAATACAGTCATCAAGGTCACCAGGAGCCCGACTGCACCCAGGAGTCTCATTTCCAAGGGTGTGTGGGCAGGTCTAGCCTCCTTTCAGCCCTTGAAGGGTGTGGGTCTGGACTGGGTCAGAGAACAGTGACCCCCTGTACAGCTGCACGTGCATCACCCTGCTTGGAGTCGGAGCTGTCCTCAGACAGGCTGCGGACGCTGGGAGTCTCTGAGAGACGCAGGGGAAGTGCTGTAGAAAAGGATTTATTTTAATAACGTGAAGCTTGAGCAGAACACAAACTGTTCAGCCGATGAGGCTGTGAGCTGCAGCTGTGCTGAGTGACGAGACTCATGAGCAGCACGGCTGTGCAGCATCACGTTGCCCTCGGTGTCAAATCAGGTTCGTGTGGACAGCGGGAATATTTTTTTTTCTTCTAAAGCTTAATAGTTAAAAACACAAACTAAAGGTGGTTTTGTGCCCCTGTCTTCTGTGCGAGGAGAAGAGCTGGAGATGTCAGCGTGTTTCCTGGCAGGGGGTGAGGACTGATGCACGACTGTGATCAGCAGCAGGTCTCGCAGCCCACGGGTACAGACCCCGAGAGAGCAGCCACAGAGCAACAGCATTTCAGCAACACAGACACCTGAGATTCAGCCCAGTGCTCTCCTGTAAGTCTGCACCACACCACAGCCCAGAGGAGCAGGTCAGACCACGAGAGCAGACGAGGGCACCATTCAGAACAGCTGGACTGTTGGACAGTTAGTAAATAATCTCAGTGTCTCATCCGGCTGTTCCCTGAAAGAACCCAGGGTCTCGGCTTCAACAACATGGCTGGACAGTTTGTTCCATACTCCCACCACCCTTTGTGTAAGGAAATACCTCCTGTCCTCAGTTTTCAATCAACTCCCACATAGTTTCCAGTGGGGGTCCTCTGGCTCATGACACACACAATCAAAACTAGAGTTGTGAAAACAGTTCAGCTTCTGAAAGCTCGGGCAGAGAAAACAGAGAAAGAGCTGTAGCAGCAAAAAAAAAACACTCATTCAATGAGTAACAATATCTGTGCAGTTACTAGCACCACCTACTGGTCCATCTATACCACTTACAGTAGTAACCTGGTTTCCCTTAGAAGGACAGTTCCTCTTTCCTTTCCTGCCTGTTTGAAGCAGGTGTTCATGTTATAGACTTGCCCCAGGCCCTCCTGCTGCAGTGTGTCGGTTCTCGGGGATCTGCCTGAGCACGTTTGGCAAGTGGCTCTGACCAGGAGCTGGCAGCTGTACCCCCAGTGCTCCGCTGTACCCCCAGTGCACTGCTTGGCCTACATCTCAGAGGCTTCCTACTGACTTGGAAGCAATCAGACAACTTGTATTACTGAACTGGGGGCAGACGGCACCTCTATCCTCTTCCTACTGTAAATGTCAGAGTCCTTAAGCCTGGAAAGGGATACCCCCCCACAGTTCCACTGATCAGCCTTATATGATGTGCCCCAACCCCCTTCACCCGTGAAAAGCCCTTTATCTGTTGTCACAATTGTATTCATTCATATCATTCTTTTATTTGTTTTATTCCAGTGTGTCTGTCTGGGTTCACCTGCCCAAGATTTAGTTTCCTCCACTCGGTGAGGTGGTGAGATACTCAAGTCAGTCAGATTCTGGCCTTCGTGTTTTGCAGTGAAGGCTCCATCTTTAGGAGCTGGGTCCAAGGGGGACCCTGGGGGGGCCGCTCACCGAGACGCTGCGGCTGGGGCCTCTCGCTATGAATCAGCCCTTTCGGTTTCCCCTGACTTGTGAACATCTGCCAGGTGGCGTGAAGGCCTGCGTCACCCGCTCCCGAGCTGACTCGCGCTCCCGCCCAGGGCTCTCTGTTTCAGTCAGCGCTGGATCCCCCGGGCCTTCCTGCCCGCTGGGGACTCCCGGCCCCCCGACAGAGGCGAGCGCCGCCGCGCTCCTGCACGGGGGAGATCAGTCTGCACTACGGCCTCGCTGGAGTCGCGCTGCACCGGCTGAGGGGGCGCCCGAGGATCCGGCCCACAGCCGCTCACTTGGGAATCTTCTCCGCAGCTTCACCGAGCACTTCAGCCCCTCATCTACAGCCCCCCTCCCCTCCTGCTCCAGTTCTGCGCTTTTCGCTCCGTCTGACGGGCTGAGGCTGACGGCATTTCTTCAGGTCCACCGTTCTCAGGCAGCTTCTTCACGAAATGAATCATTACAGGAAATGGTTTGAGATCGAATTTCTTTTAATAAATGTGTTGTTACTTAAATGCTACAGATACCTTATGAAATGTTTTTGTCCTTGAATTGGTTTAATAATGTGATAGCTAAAGATCAGTTAAACATTGGTCTGTTTACTTGTAGGGTGTGAGGTAGGGTGGTGTCTCTCGTTGCTGCCTTACAGATCTTAGATCTTGGGTTCTGTTATGGACTGGGAGCACTGTCTGCGTGGAGGCTGTAGATTATGTCAGTCCTTGCTCCGGTTTTCCTCCACCTCCAAGAGGTACTCCAGTGGGATGAAGTGGTTTCTCTGAATCGTCCCTGTCTGCTTGTGTGTGCATCCTCTCCTCTCCAGGGTGCAATCCCAGGAATATCCAGGTTCCTGCTAATGGATAGATGCATAATATATGCACAATTTGCACTGAAGCTGCAACTGTGGGAGTCTTCCTGATACAGACTGAGAGATGATGATTTGAAACTGCTGAAGAGTTTCATTAGTAAGGTAGAGGTGGGTGTCTTCCAGTTCATTCTTTCCTGTAGAGAGGAGAGTGAATGAATGGTTGGAGAGGATTGTTTCTGGCACGTCAGAGAGCAGAAGTGGTCGGTTTTAATAGTTATATTCTCTCCCTCCTTGCTGAAATTAGAGAACAAGAGCTACAGTCTTCCACCTGCTACTGAAGACACCCGGAGCGGCGGCTGTGGTCCCACGACTCGGGAGAAGGCAGGGAGATCGCCCTCGCCGCGGTACTGGCCTGCCAGGAGATAAGGAAGAGACTGCTTGAGCTGAGCACCATCCCTGGAGGAGGCCCTCAGGGGTTGTAGTCAGGCAGTAGATGCTGATCAGGTTCAGAAGAAGATCGGCTTAGACAGTGAAACCAAGGGGAATGCCTCAATCGGACTCTGCCGTGATCGTGTGAAGCTCACAGACGCCGACCTAAGGTCAATAAAAAGCAATCACTTCCAGAGCTGACATTCACATTTTCACATCCTCCTGTTAGGTTCTTATCCTTTCCTCACCTGTCGCCAGAGCCTCCCCGCTGCACGTGCTCTCCAGATGTGCTGCTCTTGAAGGGCAGGCCGCTCCTTCCAGATGTGCGAGCTCCCAGCTGGAGAGCCAGCAGCTGATGTACAGTGGTTCAACACCGGGAGTGATCAAGGCCGCTGTAGAGGTGAGGCTGAACATTGGGTATATAATTCTGATAGGTCTTATGTTATTATATTGAATGTTATTACAGATTATATTGAGATATTATGCTGTGAAAAAAACACATCTGAAAGAGAACATTTTTAATTAAATTTAATGAAATCTTAATGTAAGTTCTTAGATGTTTTTCCATTTTTATGGCTGATACTACTTAGTTATTATTCAATAAATTAACCTCATCTAAAGGCAATTTTAATCAGACAGATATCACGGCATTTGTTTGGCACAAAATTCCACAAACACATCAGTGAAGTGAAATTTTATAAAAGATAAAATTTAGTTGTTTTTTTTAATTACTTGATAAAGTTTCTAAATGTCTCATTTTAAATCAGTCCCCAGGCTGTTTGTGAAAGACTAAGATAACAACAGTTCGGTCGTTTCAGTTTAAGAAAAGCAGACAGATCATTATGAAAAAGACTGAGCAGAACTCTAAGCCCTGCTTTCCTTTGTAAAGGAAATGACACCTGTGACACAGTAGACTTTACATGCCTGTGGCTCGTCTTTAAAAGGAATCATGGCCTCAGTATCTGTTACCGACAGTGGCAGTAAGACACTGCTCATCTCAGCCCCACTGCTGGAAACTGTCCAGACCTGAGCCTTCAGAGTCACAGCAAAGCTCTGCGGCTTCGTACCTTCAATCAAAAATACTTCTCAGACGTGGGAAACCATTACTTTAGGTATTTTATTTAACTTTTATTTTTGGACACCTCAGCAAAAAATAATAAATCAATAGCAAAATCATTAACTGAATCAAGTGCAACTATATATATATCAGCAGGGTAGAAAAGTCAGCTGAAAGATTTGACTAATATTGTCTGGACTCAGAAATGAACCTCACTGGCAAGGTCTGACCTGCGTGCGAGACACAGCAAGGAGGACTCACTGTGGAGCTGAGCTGCCTCAAAATGTGTTACCATTTGACTAATTCCATAATTATTGACATATGATATATTCTATATATTATTAATATTTTCCATTCAAATTATTATTATTATTATTATTATTATTATTATTATTATTATTATTATTATTATTTTAATCAACATACAGGTAGTCATTTAAAAATCACATTTATGGCACAGTAATTTAATTAGTCACATGTAATATTTCGACATTCTTATTTCCATACTGTAATTGTAAACTAAGCTTTTTAATTATAAGTCGTTTCTTGAATGCGTGGATCAGTGGCTCAAAACACCAAGTCCACTCAGAATTGATTTGAGCTGATTTTCAAAAACAATTATAATGAGTTTATTAACACTGGTGCTCAAAATCTGCCGTTTATTGATCAGCTAGTTTGTTTAATCTTCACATACTGTAAGTCTTGTACTTTTTGATTTTGGAATTTTGATTTTTTTTTATCTGGAACTCGTTTAAAATGTTTTGTTAATATTCCTGCAGCTACTACAAGTCATCACAATGTTTTATGTAAACGGAAAATAGTGGTCCATATTATTACACTTTTTTTCTACATAATTCTTGACTGGAGATTTCTTAAAACACGACGATGAAACTTGATGGTCACGACGGCGGCGTGTCCGGATGCGGAAGGTGCTGGCGAGGGGGTATTATTTATAAAACAACGCGACAGAAACGGCTCCGACAGTCCTGGAGGTTCATTTTGGTGAAACTGCGGCGAGTGTCTGTTCCACAGCGGCGATGTCGCTGTGTTTAATTTAATAATTAACTTTAATTATTTAATAGTTTCATCATTATTATTAAATAATTAATTATTTAGTTTAATTCGACTATCATGGAATTCAATTTTTTTAAACCGTTTGTTTTTAAACGATAACAAACTTCATTGAAAAAAAACACAACCTTTAATTTTAGAAGATGAATTGTTTAAGAAAAGTCTACCGCAGCATCTGTGTGATTCCAAACCGTCTGCCGGTTCTGACTCGTGCAGTAGCTCTTGTAACTCGAACGGGAGAACTGGGGTCTTACAGCTCTGCCATGTCAGACGTGTTGAAGTCTCTTCTCTCACAGCCCTCCCGGTTCTCTGCACCCGGAGCGCACAGACGAGCACAGCGCAGGCGAGAAGCCCTTCCCTGCGCCTCTCAGTGCTCAGTGTAACAGCGCGCAACAGAGCGGCTCTCCAGCCTGGTACAGCCCCGCACCGGGCCACACTGCCCCAGACACCAGCTCCGAGCTGGAACATACCGATACTGATACATACTCACACCTGAAGAAGGCTCCACTGCCGAAACTGCCTTTCTTCTCTTTTCAGCCTGGAATAAACCTTTACTTGTTCCTTTGCAGACCGATACTGTGTGGGGCTAGTATATGGCTAATAAGGTAATCTTATCTTATAGATCTTATCTTAGTGGAATGGGTGCAAATAGACTGATACGCGATGGGTTTATAAACAGTGCTAAGTGTACAAAACGATGTGCTGTATGAATGCAAGTTCTATAGACAGCTTCACATCTGTCGGAAAGGTTACTGTACACTACATGTTAAACATGGTTAAACCCTGACAGTGTAAGAACTGTGGGCCCAACTCTTCTGAATAAAGTTCAGATAAGATATGTATCTCAGGAGAGGCACCGCAGTGTTGCTGACAGAACAAGACCCGAGGTCACGCTGCTGCACCCGGACTGAAGGGCCGCTCGGAGCCGGGCTGGCGACTGGCGAGCGCACAGCTCAGCGGCAGGGATCCCCACGCCGCGACCGGCACCCGGAATGGAACCCCAGTGGTCAAAACACGGTTTAAAGTGGTCATTTGTGGTGGCAGAACGAACTTGGAAATAATAGAAATAAATTCATTGAAAATGAAGAGCGTGTTTTTTTCCTCCTCTATATTTCCGTTTGTTTCTCGTGTGTTGTATGGACCTTGCCTCTTTAAAGCGATGTGCGGTGCAAAGCAGGTCAGGGACTGAGCCCAGGGGCTCAGCGCCGGACACACCCAGAGCTGCCGGGCGAAATGACTTGGCCATCTCGACTCTTTCCAGCGCACCGAGGCCGACCGTCTGCACTGCGGCTCGGGGAGAGAAGTCTCTAATGAGCCACACTCCACACTCCGGATCCGCGGGAGGTCTTGTTTTCGTGCGTGTGCGGGGGGCGTCTTTTCTGAGAAGCGTGCAGGGGGCGACGGCTCCATGTCTGCCCTACATACGGCTCACCGCAGTGGAGCCGAGAGGCGCAGGTGCGCCGTACAGCTCGCAGGTACAGACTCCCACCGCACAGCGCGCCGGGGGGCTCACAGCTCCCTCCCCGGCGCTGCCCCCGGAGCCGACCGCCGGCCCGGGCGAGGCGCCGGGCCCCCCTCCCCCCGCGCAGCTGACCCGCCTGTGCGGGCTCACTGAGGGCTTGAGTCCTGTTTCACGGCGGGCAGCTGGCCCTCTCCTGCCCTCTGCCCTCTCCTGCCCGCCCGTGCGGTGGGGCTGCGGGCGCCCTGTGGTCTCTTTGAGACAGCGCCGCGCTGCGAGGGAGGGGAGAGCCGGTAGGAAGGCTGGGTCGGGCGCAGATGGAGAGATAGCAGCTCTCACAGGAAGATGCGGCACCCCCCCCCCAGCTGCGTCTTTAATTTGTTTTGAGAAGAGAGAAACAAAAGGCGCCGATTCCGAGAAGGCTCGCAGTGAACCTGATGAATTCAGACTACAGCCGAGCCCAGCATCCCCCCTCTTACCGCAGGGCTGCTGGCGCTGTTTCTCGAGTAGAGTCTTGTCCCGTTGAGTTGAGAAAAAGATCCCTGTATTTTATACGCCTAATAGAACATACTGTTCTGAATGCCAGTGTTATTGGCTTGTAGGAGAGAATTCTTCAGACAGTGCCAGCGCCGGAGCAGTGGGACAGGGCGCACTAGTTGGGAATGAACACCGGAAGTCCACTGTCAAAGTGTTTCCGTTAATAAAATGGATGCGTTAATACAGCAGGCTTTTCAAGGTGCACAATCACATACTTGGGGTCCTTTCAGAAACTGGTAATGGGGTGATGTCACAGACCTGATGATCATCCTGGGTCGCTGCTCACCGCTGTTTGAAGCCGCCTCCACTAAGCAAACAGAAATAAATGAGACAAGCAGGTTCCCATCCATACTGCAGAGAGAAGGGGCTCTGCTCTGAACGCCCCACTGCAGAGCTCTGCCACGCTGGGCGCTGGCCCCGGGGACTCGTGTCACCTGCCTGCGCGCCAGGCGGTTCTCTCTCTCTGGAGACACCCCTGTCCCACAGAGTGTCCACGGGACAGGCAGTGAGGTGAGTCGGACTGTGGGATCGGCGGGACCAGCGAGAGGTGGTTCCCTCAGGGGATTACCAGCGATCCCAACACACGAGCTGGCACTGCTCAGAGCACAGCGCACAGCGCACAGCGCACAGAGCACAGCCACTGGTGGAAGGAAGACCAGGCGCTGGCTTGTAGAGCAGAGTGCACTGAACTCTGAACTGGGGCGATTGGCCACATGAGAGAACAATATCCCTGTCTTTCCGACACAGGGCTGGAAACTGTCAAAGATTCAGCTAAATAATCCTATTGCAGAGAAACACATGCAAGTCCACTGCTCCAGAAAGAAAGAAATAAACTCTCAAGTTCATGAGGCAACGGATTCTTCCACCATGTTTTTATATTCTGGTTTTCTGTTGTTTCATGCTGTGAACAATAAATACACTTCCCACAGAAACAGACTGTCAGACCAGAGCCGATGTTTAATTCTGTCAAGAAGCCAGGAGAAAGCTTCAGACACCGTACAGCACACAAGGTACCAAGCTGCAGAATGTGATGATTCAGAATCGCAATGCTCTGGCACAAATATAAGTCTGCTGAAGTCTGTTGTACACCAGTGGTGACTTTTAAAAGCACAAGCTTCTGTGAGTCTGGTATTAATGATCAGATTGGAACCCTAATTGTTTTTGGGACTCCTGGGACTGACAGAAGGGGAGTTCCTGTTCCTGTTATTGTCATGAAACACGAAAACCCCCTCAGGTCTGCCAGCTGAATCCGAGACCTAATCTTGAAGAGCGAAAAGGTCATATATCTGAGATCTGAGAACCTGACAGAGTGCAACAGATCCACAGTGTGTCAGAACCCACACCACTCTGCTCCTGAGAGAACACAGAACTGCAGCAGATCCACAGTGGGTCAGAACCCACCCCACTCAGCTCTTGACAGCACACAGAACTGCAGCAGATCCACAGTGGGTCAGAACCCATTGGCCCAGGATTCTACAGAGGTGATGGTCTTTTTCACAGCAGGAGCCCATATCATTAGTGCAGCTCGCACTCATCCAGCAGTGCTGATTACAGATAGCAGAGAGCCGATCCTTACCCTCTCCTCAGCTGTCCATTCTGAACTTTGCTTTGCTGTTTCTCTACATTTCACTTTCCACTTACTGCAGTGTCTTCAGCCAGGTTTCACTTGAACTCCTCCGTGACTGCGGGGGGACGCCACTGGGCAGGACGACCCCTCCTGCTGCCCTCAGTGACACTGCCACACTGGCTCTCATAGCACTCTGGTTAAACTTGCTCTGTTTCAATTGCTGATGGTAAAAAATGCTCCTTTTCTTGATCAGCACTTCTGTAAACCACCAGCTTTCCAGGGGTGACGAACCCACAGGTTCTGAGAAGAGACACGATCAACAACGCTGGGGGCTCTGTCTCAAGTGACAGACAGACAGAGACTTGCCTGATCATCAGAGCATAAGACCTACCAGTAATAATAATAAAAACAACAATAATAATAGTTATCTCAAATATGAATACAAATCTCAAAACACTTTCAAAATTTAAATTTTATTGATGTCATAACAATTATAACATGACGTGAAAATCTGTAATTATTCAATTCTCTCACAAATGAAGAAAACTATATTCTCGCAGCACATAAAAATTCAAAATAAGAAATAATTGAATGTAATGACAATACCGTGGACACAGTAAATCTGGATACACTTTTACCTTATTTACATTTGTACAATAAAGCCGATGACACAGTCAGCACAGTGGCCATACATTTGAAAAACAGAAGGTTGTGTTTTGCAGAGCAGTAATTGCAAAGCTAGCGCCTCAGACAGTGGGACTGCAGCCATCAAGGAACCTGTGAGTGTTCAGTCTTGTGTTCAGTTTGTGCTCTGTATTCATGTTCTATGTTGTATTCAGTTTACATTGTGTTCTGTATTGTGTTCAGTTTGTGTTGGGTGTTCTCTGTTCTGTTCTCAGTGTTGTGTTCAGTTTGTGTTGTGTGTTCAGTGTTCTGTTCAGTTTGGGTTGTGTGCAGTCTTCAGGCTCTATTCACACAGTGATTGAAACAGATTCTTATTTACACAGACAGTGCAGCTCTCTTTACAGAATAATTCAGGGATTGACTCTGGATTGACTCTGGATTGACTCTGGATTGACTCTGGATTGACTCTGGATTGACTCTGGATTGACTCTGGCTTCTGGTTTGCGTGTAAATGCCTGGACAAACTGCTCAAGCCTGTGCTGCACAGCAGAAAACATCCTGGTGAGCTGAACGCCTTGGACAGTCTGCTCTAGAGAAGACCTCGTGACAGAGGAGACCTGAAGAAGAAAAGATGCACAAGAGACAATCATCATGTGAAAAGACCACCTCACTGTCAACGTCTGGCTATCCTTCTCTCTGACTATCCAGGTGAACAGCGTCAGAGTTAGTTCTTAGGTCCATCAATGAATTGTGAGACCGTGTTCGAGGACACTGTGGGAGACTGCAGGACACCGCAGGACACTGCGGGACACTGCTGGACATGGCAGGCGGACATGCCTATCTCCCTAACTCAGGAGAGAGCCCCACTTGCCTTCTGTGCGCCTCGTGCTGCAGCAGCCTCAGTTCATCTCAGCTCCCGTGTCCTGATGGAAGACACAGTGAAAGGCTCAGCAGTCAGGACTGGTCGCCGTATTTGCAAAACAGCACCAAAATCTGTCAAGTGCGGACATCCCAAAAGCAACACCAATAGTCTGTTTTTAAGTGCACATATACTATATTTTCAGGTACAGAACTTTGAAAGTCCAGAACAGTGCCTTTTTAGACACAAATCAGCACAGCTTTTCCTAAAGAAACCACAAGCCGTCAGAGGGACTGGCTTTTGATGGACAGAATCAAGCAACATTTCCATCACACGAGTGAAAATTAAAGCTACGAATCACCTAACGCACAGGGGATCTGCTGGAATGTCATAGTAACATCGATCACTCCTTAAAAATGCCATTTTCAAGTTTAAAAGATCTCAAGACACAGCAAAACTGCCTAAGAGGATGCATGAACTGTCACAGGTTGGTGGTACAGTATATCTTCACCAGATATAAACAAGTTCTCATTGACAACAATCACCTGGAGATCTGTTAGCACAGGGGTGTATTTTGCTGTGAGTGAAGGTTATTGTGCAGGAGGGCAAGAGCTGTGTCCCACCCAGGACTGGAACCCTGAACCCCCCCTCCTGCTTTCAAAGCCCTGACCACTCCTCCATGCTGCTGCCACAGCATTGTCAAACCTGTGCTACTGCCCTCACATACAACACCTGTGTTTCTCACAGTCAGCCCTTGCGGGTCTGAGCCTGGTGCAGGGAAGACGAGCTCCAGTCACTGAGTTCTGCTGGTGCTGGGCTTGGCAGGTGTGAATTTAGAGCACGATCACAGGTTGCAGGTAGACTGATCTGCAATTACTGTATATCTGGTGCAGCATCTTTGCAAGAAACTCGAGTCCTCCTGTAACTGTAACTGTCTTACGCATTCAGGCAGAGGGTGAACAGTCTCCTGAGCATGTCTGAAAGGGCACTGCGTGTGGGCATATGGGCTCAGAGCCACACAGCCTTGTCGAGGACAGAGGGACCAGAGTCTGTAGGGAGTCCACTGGCAGGTCTTGAGGATGGCCATTACCTGGTCAGTGGTCAGTGTGGTCCGTATCAACACCGTGCAAGTCGGAGTGGTCAGGAGTCATGTAAATGGACCTCTTCCATTAGGACACCTGGCTAGGCTGCACAACAGCAGATCCCCTGACATCCACTCAGTGCAACAACCCACATGCAGCTAGACACATAATTGCCACTTGAAATTCATCTGGTCGAGCATAATTATTGCCTTTGTTCTCACCCAAAGGAACACGTTACCTCTTCGTGAATCTGTGACGACACTTCTTGGGCAGTCCTGCAACAGAGGAGCGGTCATTGTAGCTCGCAGCGGCGGCAGGTGAAGCTCTCGGTGCACACGGCGCTTTCAGAAGAACATTGCTGCACGCACTTTCTTTCAGCACGCACACATGGAGAGGAAGTGGCAAACACACACGTGTGCACAACAGACCGCGGCGTGAGCCGTTCAAGGCAGGAGGTACAGTACAGCTGAAATATTGATCCCTCACAAGCTTTCAATACAAGTGAGCATGCTTCTGCGCTCAGAACTTCTTACACTGAAAGGATCAGAACGGCGGTTTAAATACACACGAAAACCGCGACATGAGCGAACATTCCTAAGCAACAACATAAAAAAATATATAAAATACCTGAATTTACTTCTATTAAAAGCTTGTATGGTTTCCACATCGAAGTGACCTGCTAATATCTAATAGTCACGTTTCAAGAGTAAAACACACGGTTGGAACCGGAACCAGACTATTACCAGAACTTTCGAGTCCAACTGAAAACCCCTGCAGGTGCATTTCGCCTGGGGCTCGGGGTGATTTCGCAGGGGACAGGGCGGCGCCGGCACTGACACCAGGAACAGCGCTGTCCCGCTGAGGACCGGCTCTGGTTCCGACAGCCCGCTGGGTCTGAGCTGCCGCTGTACTTTATTTCGGATCGACACCGTTGAGTTTTACAAGGAGTAGAATTAGGAGACGCGATGATACGTCTTCGGAAATCGTTTCTTGTTATTAATTTATCATAAGCACACTCCTTCGAAGGTAACCCGTTTGATGGTGCCCAGTATTGATTTAGAACGATCCACTTGTCGTATTTTAATAATGACACGCGGGGAAGAAAGAACGGGGAATTTGGGAGCTGTTTCTGCCTGACCTCAGCTGTTAGGGACATTGAACAGGGACCCAGGACCCCGAGTTTCCTCTCAAACCCTGACTTGTCTGGGGACCCAGAAAGGGAGGAGCCGGGGTCCCACCCCAGTGAGGTGGCAGAAAAGATCCAGACACGGGACGGAACTGAAGGAAAATCTGGGAAACGCCTGGGCTCGTGTCTTTTGTTAAAAGGCGAGATTATTTCCTTCTAGGTGTTCAACTAGACTGTGCGCGCCGAGCGATTCCTCGTTAGGGTTGTTTTAATAGAGGGAGAAAAAACACGCTTTTCACTCCAACGATTTGGCAACATAAAACCGAAGAGTCCACTCTCTAAATTTTCAACACATTTCGTAATCTCCCGTTCATCGTGAGTTAAGAACTGTTGCGTGAAACATTTGATTTCGGAATGTGAAAATCGGCTGTAGATGTATTTTAGCAAGTTATCGATAAAATGTTGTCGATTATTTCTTTCATATTTTTTTTAATATTACACTTTGAAACTACAGCCCGTTGTCTAAAAAAATGCAGTTTTCTGACAAAAACAGCTGAGAAATGCTGCCTTCAGATTTTTTAGATCACTTCAAACTTGTGAGTTCGCAGCTCAGCGTGTAAAAAGGATTTAGTATGAACGCAAAGCCCACGGCGGGCTGCGATATCCGCGTGAATCAGCGCCGTGCATCGAAAGCCGGGAAGACTGCGGGCCAGTCGTGAAGCCACCCGGGGCTGAACCTACGGCGGGCTCGGACCCGATGAAACGGCTCGAATTTCAACACCGGCACCCGGAACCGGGCCGCTTTCCCGGATCCCCAGCGTCTACTCACGGCTGAAGTAGTAGAGGGTGCAGACCCACGCCACGGCCAGCGCCGAGAGCCCTCCGGCCAGCGGCCACAGCACCAGGGGCCCGCAGCCCCAGCCTGCGGAGAGACGGGCGGTCAGAGTGCGCTTCCCGGCTTCATGGCGACAACGGCAACAATAATTACATGATCCCGCCCTAGTGTCGACACGGAGCAGCAAGTATCGCTCGCTGATGTTATCACAAATACTCACCATTTACAACCACGTACTAAAAACTACTATGATCCACAGATAATATTTAATGACAATATTAGTAAATAGATCTATTAATATGAGTACATATTTACTTGGCTTTGAATAATGACATTAGTTAATAATGATAATAATGTTGCTTTATTAGCCCTATACAATTTCTTTCATTAGGAATTCATCTTTTTGCATTCCCCAGCTTACTCTCCATGAGACACAGACAGGGAGAGAAGCTGCGGGTCAGACATTGTACAGCACCCCTGGAGCAGTTGGGGTGAAGGGCCTTGCTCAGGGGGCCAACAGAGTAGGATTCCTCTGCGGGCCGCGGGATTTGAACCGGCAACCTTCCAGCCACAGGCACAGATCCTTAACCACAGTGCCACCTGACAGTGTCTGAGCTAGTTTGGTTCTGATGAACACAGAACACAGGAACACCAGGAATACCAGGAATGGGAACATCGGAATGAAGCTGGAAAACGGATATTGCAGCCCGTCTGGTGGATGGGCACCAACACAGAAAGTAATGCTGGTCCAGTATTAGCAAGCAGCGCCTAGAGTCCAGTCCAGAGACAGAAAGAGCTCAGGAGCCGGAGCGCGGAGCAGGAGCAAGCACAGGTCCGTCAGCTTGGAACAGAAGGGCAGAAAGAAAAACAGAACTTTTTGACTTCAGACAATATAACTGGACATTAAATTCTCCTCCCGGTGAGAACGTGGTGATCAATTTACATGATCATAATTAAGGAAATTCTGATTTTCAGAAATTCTAGTGAAATCCGCAATGACCTTTTCCATTCAGTGAAGTGACTTAAAAATATAGCTTTCAAAATGAAGAAAAACTTTCTAAAGTTACGGAAACCTACAGGATGAAATTCTCGGTACGGAGGCATTTTACCATGTCCCTGTGACATGCAAATTCCTAATTATTAATAATTAAATATTCATATAATATATAATAGTATATATCCAAGAAATGTCTGGTGCATTTCCTGAGGTCTTTGTGGCCGCAGGCGATGTGGATCAGGTACTGAGCGCTAGCTGTCCAAACTAACGGTTACTGACCAGACTCTCCTTTATTCTCAAGGGTCCCACGTCTCAGACTGGAGGTGGGAAATAAAAAGCCATCTCTATCTTAACGAGCCATGGTGATTCATGGCCGTTACACAGTTAGATGAAGTATTTTCCTTCAGTAGCTGTTATTAACTGGGCTGTTTTCCCCTTCAGAGCCTGTAACTGTGGTGCTGAGTGTGGGCACCCTGTGCCTTCCTTCCAGAGAGGAGCAGCGGGCGTCTCGGGGCCGGAAGGGAGAGAGGGGACAGGAGACAGGAGACAGGAGAGGTGAAAACCCTGCCAGCGGAGGGCGGCTGTGTACCAGGCTGAGGCTTGGGTCTCCTCCTGCTGGGGCAGCGGAAAGGCGTGGGCTTCCGGGGGGTCGTGGTGGGGGGTGGAAGTGTGGGCGGCGTCTCTGGAAAACACAGAGAGGGAGCAGGAGCCAGTTAGGACACAATCAGACACCCGGACACCATCTCGCCACACACCTGCAGCAGCAGCAACTTCCCAGCCAGTCCTCGGAGCTGACAGTGTCTCAGGAGTGTTAGAGTCTCCCAGCCAGTCCTCGGAGCTGACAGTGTCTCAGCAGTGTTAGAGTCTCCCAGCCAGTCCTTCAAGTTGACAGTGTCTCGGCACTGTCCCAGCCAGTCCTCGGAGAAGACAGGAGACCCCTGAATTGACTGGACTAGGGCTCTGAGACCTGTCACATCCGCTGCTAATAGGAATCCTCCACACAAACGGTCTCGCCCTGGTTACAAGACCAGGACTAGACACCCCTGCCTTACTCTCTCTCATCCTCTGCATGGTCCCTGCAGGCCTGGGAGTGCTGTGGGTGGGTTGCAGATTAAACAGAATATTTCAGACTGCAGAGGCATGTGAATCAAAGCACCAAGATGCTAGAACAAGATCTGAGAAAGCGTTTTCATGACCCTACTGCTTGCTAAAACCTTGTAGATAAGGGCCTGTCTGAGTTTCTGAATCCAGCTCTTCTCTGCGGAAGTCTTCAGCTCAAGAGACCACAACAGACCTCCGCAGTTTCCTCTTAATGAAAAGAGACAAAAAACACTGTAGGCTGCTTTCAAACAAGCCCTGTTTCACATTTCATCACCACCAATGGGCCAAAACTCTCCACCAGCCCAGGTGAGACCACCCACTGTCAGCTCTTCCAGTGGTTCAAATGGTACATTGGAGAAGAGTAGTGAAAACATACACATATGTACTTCTACATACATATGTATCTGATTCATTAAAAGTCAAATATTCTGATTATGCCTGGAAAACAACACAGTTGAGATACATTTTAAATTTTAAATAATAGTGTTCCCAGGTCTGTTTACAGAACCCACTAAAACAGATCTTTGATTGAAAATCACATCTTCATTTTCCAGTGAAATGTCACTCTTTCTCTACACACAGCTGATTAAAATCTTCTTTTTCTTAGACTGAATCCTCATTCTAAGTGTGCTGACTGACATCTTTCTGCACCTTCTAATTCATCTGCCACGAATTAAACTCTCAAACAGTTCAGTTGATTCAAACGGTGAGACTGAGAAATTCTCTGTGCAAGCCGATGCAGTGCTAGTGCTGGTGGTTTCAGGCCTCTGACCCTGAGTGTTGAAAAGGCCTGGGCTGAGCCGTGTCTCTCCTGTCGCCGGGGAAGGGGAGTGAGACAGATCAGTGAGCAGTGGTGCGGGTCTGTGTGGGCTCTGTACAGTCCTGTGTGTGTGCAATCACAGGGTCACAGCAACCCAGAGCTGATACCAGAGGCACTGGGAACAAGGCCTCACTCGCACACGGACAGCTTAGAGACACCAGTTAACCCAGGAGCTCCTGGAGAGACCCTCCCAGGACCAAAGGGCTCAAACACAGCCACCCTCACCACCACCCCACTCTCCTGCCCCTCGGCAAATCCAAACGAAACCTTCAAATCTACTGCAAAAATGCAGAAAATGAGAGATTCGGCAGCTGATGGCTTTAACCACACATTTGCAGTTATGCTGCCCACAATCCTCCTACCTACATGTGGTACAGTGTTTGCGTTTGTCTGCAATGAGCTGTACTGTAGACACAGGCCCATAATAAAAAAGATCACCTCCCCGTCAAAGATCACTAACTCTGCACCCGAGTTTGGATTTCTGTAGGCTAGAAGGCAGAACCATCCCTTTCCTCCTGACAAACTCCTCTTCAGCCTGGGAGCTGTAGTAATCTGTAGCCAGTGGGTCAGAAATTAAACTCAGCTGAGCCACTGACAACAAGCTCAGAGACAGGCATGTTGACCAAAACATTAGAAAGAAACACTGTTATGTTTAATGCACACTGTGTGGTGTTTGCCTCCTCTTTCACCGGAGCAATATCTTCTGGGCGCCTGCCAGAGACAATCCTGCAAATACGGGTTAATCCGCGCTGAAAAGCAGAAATGAGAGACGTTCTACACGTCGAGCTGTTTCAGGCGCGCTCTCTGCAGCCTTCTTCACAAGGGGCCTCAGCACATGGACTGTCTGAGTTTCTTCCCTCCCTTCCCAGCGCGAATGAACTTTACACAGCTCCGCGCTCGGGCGTCTCACCACGTGGACCGGTGTTTCTGTCTGCACTGCGGGATTATTTCACGGCTCAATTTCAGCAATAAACGGGTTTCGCAGTGGACGCAGTCGGGTGCCCGTCCGCGCTTCACGAGGGGGCTCAGAATTGAGGGGGGCGTGCCTACAGGAGCCCGCTGTGACGCCCCCCCGCGGCCGGACCGGGCCGCCTCGGTACCGTACCCACCTCCCGGCCGGAGCTCGGCGCCGTCGCTCAGCGTGAGCTCGGTTCTGTTGAGGACGCCGCAGTAGTAAATCCCGGCGTCCTTCTCCTGCACGCGGAGGATCTTCAGGATGAAGATGGTCTTGATACTGTCCCTCTTGCTGCCTTTAAACCGCTCCTGCTCACTGGGGGCATCAATTCCGTAGGTGTATTTATCCGTCACGCTGTAGTGAAACAGGAACTGGAATCCCTCTTCTGTCTGCCGGTACCAGAACACGCCCGAGGGACTTTTCTCCCCCCACTCACAGGATATAGACGCGGTGGCGAATAGGTTCACATAGTAAATGTCAGACGCCTTGATCATCTTGCCTGCCGCTGTGGAGAGAAAGACAAGGAACAGTATGAGCTGTGGAGGATCAAGGCGACAGTGCGTTACTTCTTTACACAAAGGGTTGTTGGAGTGTGGAACTATCTACCCAGCCACAGTGGTTTCTTTCACGAAACAGCTGGATGAGATCCTAGGATCAATTCACTACTTTGAGAGCGCAGCCCAGTTGGAACTACATTCCCCAGAATCCTGTGGGGGGGGGGCAATGACCCGCTGCTCTCAGTCACATGACCATTAGGATGGAAGACAATCAGTCAGGTGACTGTGTGACGAGCGGGAAGCAGAGGAGGTCTGGCTCAGTCTGGGGATGTCTGTTGTCTGTGAAAAGGGCAGAATCTTCCTGTGTGCTGTCCACAAAAGGGACAACTGACAAGGGATTGAAGGAACTAGTGAGTTTTGAGAGTTTTGTGAGTTGTTTGTGTGAATTACTTAAAGAAAAACTGAACTGTCCTGGTCTAAATGAGACAAGCGACAACCTTAACCTCATCTTAGGTCTATCCAGGTCATTTTGTAATCCACCACTCAGTACAGGATCACAGAGGGAGCCAAGGCCTAACCCAGCAAGTAACGGGATGCCCGTCCATCACAGGGCACACACAAACACAGACTCGCACACACTCACACCAGGGCCAAATATCCTAGGAGCCAAGTAACACACCAGCTCGTCTTTGGACTGTGGGAGGAACCCGGAGCTCCTGGAAGAAACCCACACAAACACGGGAAGAACATACAAACTCCACACAGACAGTACCCCAGGAATAGAACTCCGTGCCCAGAGCAGCAAAGAAGCAATGCTGACCACTGCCCAACCACGTTGCACCCAAGAGTCTAGATACCTTCAAAATTGGCTTATAACATTCACAAGTTACAAATTGTCATTTTAAACAGGTGAGGTGTTTCAAGGTGTTATAATATAACAAGAGAATTATTTCAATAAACCTCAAGACAGGAGGCGAACATGAATTTGCCTGGTATTGTCTAGCAGCTCAGTATCCATTATTGGAAAGTTGTTTATCCTGGAGATGGTTGTAGCAGAGCTGGAGCTTATAAAACTGTTCAAGCCGGACAGGACATCGGTCACAAATCACACTAATTAAGTGTGCGCAGACTCCTAATTACAAATGAATGTGAAAAGTCACTGGGTTCCACACTTAAAATATAAAACCCTGGAGAGAAGGTTCGGTGCCCTTTCTCCTCATCTCCGGTCACCCACAGACAGACACGCTGCACGGGATCAAGCTGGGGGTACGCTTCAGTATTCACCTAAAAAGTGCTGTGAAGATATATTTGCATTGTTCACATTGCCCAGTGAAAATGTAAGGGTACTGACACCACTGCTCAGCTAGGTGTTAGAGCACTGATCACTTCCCTCAGCAATATGAAAGGCACTGATCACGCTGCCCAGAGATATGCAAGAGCAGTGATCAGACTGGCATTAAGATCCGTATAGCTGCATAAGATGGAGAACTTGATCCTCCTAACAAACAGAAGCAACAGAAAACCCTGGAGGCCCAAACACAAAAGGCATCGATTCACAAAACAAGACACCCGCGTGTTGTAAACCATGGGCCGCTACACGAGTTACAGAGACAGCCCAGAAAGATCACACGGGACACATAGAGGCGGCACATGGCGTTTGGGAGGAAAACAGGCAGGACAGAGGGTCTCCCAGTCCGAAAAGAGCAATTCCAGGGTTTTTCACACGAGAGGACACTGGCCAGTCACGGACGATGATCTCTCAGGATGACCCAGGATCTCACCCAGCCGTGTCTCATAATTAACCAGGGTATCTGCTTCAGCAGCGTGGTTGGACTGCCTGTTCCAGGCTCCCACAACTCTTTGTGTAAGGGAGTGACTCTTGTTCTCAGTTTTTAATTCGTTCGGCCTCAGCCGAAGCCTGGACTGGAGGGCTGGGAAGAGGACAGCGCAGAGTTCTTGGGGCTCCTGCGGACGTCCTTCTGTCTTGAAACCTGCTCATCAGGCCTGAGTGGTGGCTTGTAGCTGATTGATCTGAGGCTCTCCCCCAGCAGCTTCTCGAAGGAAACCAGGGTATCGGCTGGGCAGCCCATTCACACTCCTGCCTCCTGCTCTCAGTTCCCCCTGATCTCCAGCTGTTTGCCCCTGTGCCCCGGCTCATGTTTCCCTGGGCTGCCTGTCACAGCCCTGAGGGCCTGAACACCCGGGTCAGGCAGGACTGAGAGGAGTGTGTTCACCCACACGCGAGAGGTCGCGAATAATAGGAGCAGATTCCTTTTGTGTAAAGATGCTTTTAAAAGCACAATAAATGACCACTACAATATCAGGACGTTATTACACCTATAGATGCACTTATTTGTCATCTAATAGGTCAGTAGATCTTTTTAGAAATCCTCCTCCTGAGCAAAAGATTCAGATGATTATTAATATTAATATTAATATTAATAATTTTATTAATAATAATATTAATAATCTTTATTATTATTGTTATTAATATTATACTTATTCTAATCAGTGGTGGCTTTAGTATCGTTTGAAGATTAGAACAAATCAGAAAGTTGTGTCGCACTATATCAAACTGAAAGATGCTCACTACAGAGAGGATGCTGTATGATATTACAGGATAATGTCCGTCATCCCGCCTGTGGCTCTCCGATGAGCGGGCGGTCAAATCTGTCCAGCAAGACCATCTGTCACATCTGTCCAGCGCTGGGCAGTGATCTGCAGTCCTTTTTGAATCCTTATTATGTCTTTTAAATAACAGTCATGGTATTACAGTTACCGTTTCAATTATTTATTTCAGTTCACGAGTTGTTTCAGTTATAATATTGTTTCTATTATTTATTTGAAACATTAAAATTAAATATTAATGGTATTGTCATCACCATTTGGCAGATATTTTAAATAACGTAGACGGAATGATTCAACTTGATTATTAACACACTGATGTTATTATTTAGAGACTTTTGTTGACATCGTGACATTTCTTAACAGGTAATTTCAAACTTCTACGAGTACTTGAGTATTGCGAGAAACGCCTTTTAAATAAATATTTATAGATACCTAATATTAATATACAGTAGTAGATTAATAACATCCAGTGACACATGCACTTTTGAACACATAATCTATCTTAAAGTGAACCGACTCTAGCAATTGGGAAACGGCAGCCTGGAATTCAGATTTTCAGTAAGGCTTGCAAGTAAATATGACAAACGAGCAACAGCATAACTAACGATCCCAACAGATACTGAGACAGCAGAACGTCACATGAAGACGACACGAGGTTCAGGGTGTCTCAGTGGCGCTGCCGCGCCTGTCTTACTGTGTGTAAGCAGTGTGGAAGTGGTGAAAGTAGTGAGGACTGGGTGGACCTGCCTACAGTCTCTGTGCGCGCCCACGGACATGGGGGGTGGCACGTGGGGTCAGTCCAGAGCGCGCGACAGCAGCAGGAACGGGTTTATCTTCAAGCGAGCTGTCCGGTTCGGGTCTGTCCGGTTCAGGTACTGCCTGCCACGGAACGGCACCGAAAACTGACAGTTAGTCGATGGCAAGAGGGATGTAGCCTGCTCACATTCGGCCCGATTCCGAGCAGACAGACCTATCGGAGGCCTGGGTCAGTCAGGAGGGACGAGAACACCTGCGCACAAGTCGATTTCCTTTTTAACAGAAAATAGTTTCTAGGAAGTTAAAGTTGTTATCAATGTTATCATTGAAATTGTTTTTTTTACAATCTAAACTTTTGCTTATTGGCTGCCTTGGGAAACTCGCGAACGGGCAGCGCTGAGCAGTCTCGCCCGGTTTTAGGGGACACACTTCAAGAGAGAAGGGGGGCCGCAGGAGCCCCAAGAACTCTGCGATGTCCTCTTCCCAGCCCTCCAGTCCAGGCTTCAGCTGAGGCCATGGGAACAAATTTAAAACTGAGAACAGGAGTCACTCCCTTACACAAAGAGTTGTGGGAGCGTGGAACAGGCAGCCCAACCACGCTGCTGAAGCAGATACCCTGGTTTATTTCAAGAAACGGCGGGGTGAGATTCTGGGATCAATTAGCTACAAACTACAGGCCTGATGGGCAGGACGCACTGATGTTCAGCAGCCAGTCTTTCACAGAGCTCTGGAATGATTTTCAGGGCAGCAGGTGTCGCAGGGACACAGAGTGTTTTCGGACGAGAGCAGACGAGTCTCTGCTCAGCTGCTGGAGCTGTATTTTCTCCGACCCGTTTCAGAATCACACTTCAGAATCTCCCTGCTGGCTGCAGGCGAGCGACAGGGCGGTGAAATTCTCTTTTATGTCTAAAATGTGCAGAGTTGGGAAAAAATAGTCTGTGAGGTGAGACGATCTTAGCTTCTGCCCTCTGAGCCCTTGTGAGTTTTTTATCATCGTCCGTGACTGGAATCGCTCCTTTCGGACTGGGAGTCTGACTGCAGCCGGATGGCAGGGCTCAGCAGCTCAGGTATATATCTCACACAGCCCTGGAGGTCACCTTCCTCAAGCTCGAATCAGGTGAGAGAAGGAAACTAGAGCTTAAAAGAACCTCAGAATCTAAGTTTGTACTTTAACTGTAACTGTGTCCTAACACTTGTGAGTCCGGAACAGGGCAGAAAATAAGTGTTTTTTTTTCACACAGACTATGACTTTTATATATCTCAGTTCATATGGGCCCACAGTGGGTCCCAGTCCATGATTGATAATGATTGATGATAATTAAGCTATGAAAGCCCAGGTTTGAGATACTAACTACTACGAACAGGCTACAGGGCGCACTGGTGTCCCTGAAGCCGAGTAAGGCACTGATCGGCCTCTGGTCGGAGAGGAGTCGATACACACAAGTGCAGGACTGGGCTTCGACAGTAATAGATTCATTGCTTTAATTTGCTGTGACATTACCTTCTTAAAGAAAATAATACACGGCAAAATGTGTATCTACATTTTACAGACATACCATTTTTAAATACGTCACGACTGTGATAAGGATTACATTTCAGAAATAGATTTTCTTCATCCTGCTTTTTACTTCTTCAGACTGAAACTGAAAATGTAAGTGTTGTTTTTCTTGTACTTTCCTGGTTCGACACTTAAATACAATGTTTCTTTATAGCAATCAGGCTTTGATGATCACTGACATTAAGCGGTAATGATTATGAAAAGTTTCAAAAACGACAGCAGCATTAGCACTAACGAGCTTGAGATTTTTAAATGTAATATTCCTAATATGTACGTTTAACAGCACATCATTAAACAGTATGAATGCCTGAATTGTTTAATTAGTTCCACAACAGCCTCTGAAACTTTCCGAAACGTCTGACAGTCTCAGGCCTTCGGCTGTTGTCTGTCGCTCCTCAGCAGCTTTCCGACCGGAGAGCAAACACGAACTAGTGTACTGTCGCAACTGACTGCACAGCAAAACAACACCGAACAAATGTACCTGAATTATTACATTTCTAAAAAGTTTTTTTTCCCAGCCTAAATTAATAATATCCTCATGGTTCGTATTTTAGACTCAGGGGTGAATGCTGTGGTCACTCCCGAAATACCCGAGACTCAGCGACACCTGGAGACGAGCGGACAGCAGTGTCCCCCTACCTGCTGTCCAAAAGCACGCGAGACACAGGACGCCCAGGTACTCCATCTCGTCTCCGCCTGTGCGCGCTGCGCTCGGCTCGGCTGGGGGCCCTCGGCTCGGCTCGGCGCGGTGCAAATACCGGCGCTGCGCTCGGCTCGCCTCTATACCCCCGTGTGACATCACCAATCAGCACCCCGTGTGGCAGCCAATCAGAAGCCAGAGCCGGGCCGCTCTGCTCGCCCAGCGCAGCTCGGGGCGTCTCCCCCCTTGGCACGACAGTGTGATCGAGCCCACAAGCGCCCGGTGGAGTTAGGGAAAAGAGGGAAACGCTTATTGAAACCTCTGCGTTGCCCCTTTTGGGTAAGTGTGTGATTTCCTTTTCAGCTAATTGTTCAAGGGACCAGGGACTTCCGTCTGATTTTACATTGTGGTCATCCTTCTCCTGTCGTCCTAATCCGAGCTCTCTCCATTCCCGATGGGTAAACATGACCTGACTGTTTTCTCTGTGCAACAGAATCAGCACAGGCGGAATGAGGACCAAGCGAGAAGTGGTTTTTGTCAGCAGTGGCGCCGAGTTGCGTGAAGCAGTCTGCGTCGCTCCTGTTCTGTGTTGCGCAAGTTTGCACTGTGTTGCTCTGGCAGCCCCTGTGCCCCCCCTCAGCCCCCAAGCGCGCAGGTGAGCTCCACAGATGGGCTGCCAGACCCGCAGGTCCCACAGCAGCTGCAGGGAGTGTCGCCCGAGGCAGTCGCACCAGCAGCACGCTGTCTGTAAAACTTCACCGCTCCTGCGGCCCGCAGGCTACGCATACACATCGCTCTACAAACCACCATCACGCATCTCAAACACATTTTGTGATGTTTATTGTCATGCAGTACAGAGACCTGAGCCGTGGTGTTGTGCATTGTCCTCATACTTAACAGTTGTGTTATTTATAATTACAACACTAATTACAGCGCAGCTCTTGCAGTATGCCTTTGAAATGAGATTGAAGGAATTCATTTTCTCAGTATGAGGCACTACAGTAGAACTCGCTTCTTTATTTCCTATAACTAGGACTTGGAATAACGTTCTTTGATAATATTTTATACTTATAGGTAGCAACGGACAATTCGCGAAACCTCAGAGCTAAGTTCCACAAATCTGAAAAAGTGGCGCTCTAGAAAATATGTCGAAAGCCTGACTATTTGAAAACAAAACACAGAGAATCTGCAGCTGTTACTGAACTAATAGAAACGTAAAAAAGCCCAGTCGCCAGCTCTTGAGATATTACTGGTCTTTTGAACATTTTCGTGAATTAGATGATGAAATTGCCGTGCGCCATTCTTTAAGAAAGTTAAATCCGTTATTTATGTTACAGGCACTAAAACGACCACACCATGCTACAGAACAAAAGATAAAAACTATGATGTAAAAATTACATAAAATTACATATAAATTACCGTTATTTACGGACACCAATCAGTTGCATATAGGTATAAAAATAAACAAGTAGACTGGAAAACCATGCAACCGATTTTTGTTTTGTGAAAAATAACGACTAACATTCACGCCGAAATAACACCAGGAGCCCAACGGTAAAAAATGTTTCATTTTTCTTCAGAGCCCGCGGCTTCGTTTCTGAGCTGTGATGCAGCTGTAACAGGTTTTTATTTAAACACTCGAACCCAATCGCAGTATTAGCCTGCCTCACCGTGGGACAGAGTATTTAATATACTAAAAAAATAAAACTGATTTTAAACACAAAGTTCTCTTTCCCTTTCCTAAATAAGAAATATTTTAATCACCCACAACAAATGATCAAATGGTGCTCGTTTGGGTCAGGATGGTCTAATGTAGGAGATGAGGCAGATCGTTTGGATCGGGATGTTACTGTAGGAGGTGAAGGAGCTCGTTCCGGTCCGGACGGCTTCTACGTGTTTAACCCTGGCTGTTGATCTGACCGAGTCCGTCAGTTCTGTCAGCGGACGAGGCGAGCTACAGTCTCAGAGGTTTAATGTGCAGGTACAGTATATAGTTATATTAATATAGGAAATAAATGAGGTTAATCTTTTAGTTGGTGACAGACACTGCCAGAGAGAGACTGGCAGAGAACGGGACCCCGGTTTCAAAGTAAGACATCAGCCTGCCTGTCCCGTGGCTATACAGTAGTTCCCTGAGGGTATCATCCGCTCATGGACTGTCTCCTGTGCGGCGCTCTTCTTTGGAAATTCAGTGAAGTGCAGAAGGCTAGAAGCTGGAGGACATGCCCGCTCTGAAATAATATGTCTAATTCCCACAGCGCGCTGCCAAGCGCCCCTGAACCTCACGGAGACAAGACCTCGTCTTGTAATGCAACAATATTCGGAATCTGTGGACCAGGAGCCGCGTCTTTCAAATGTCTCAAGGACGCAAGATTTTATAGGCTTTAAGCAAGATTTTATCTGCCCCTTTGAAGATGAATCCAGCCGCTGTGCTGCAGATCACACGAAGGAAACCAGCGAGCCGCGAGTCTGATGGCACAGTGTTGACAGACAGTCACTCAGCGCAGGGAAAAGCCACACGGGTCTTTGAAAACAGGAGACCTTTGAGCTTCGTCGAGTTTTCACTCAACGTTTTACATGCTGGTGAATAGTTGACTGCCTTTGTAGAATCACACCGAGACATGAAACAGCCAGATTCGCGGAGGAGGGGTATTCAGTGAGCCACCATGTTCTCAAATGATTCTGCTCCTCTGAAACAAAATATTGGTCATCAGCACCGATTTACAAGAATTAAATAGCGCAACCGAGGATCACACAAGTACTGACCTCAGTCTTAAAGTAATGAAGAAATCCAAAATGAACCATTGCTAGCGTTCTTATGTGAAGTTATAGCTGTGCAGAAGAAATACACCACATTCCATTCCAAGCACCACTTAGCAAAAAACAATTTTAAAGACCAATGAAAGTCGCGATTTTGTAAAGAATGTTTTATGGAGCAATTTAATTTCAAATTAAAGAACAACAAATGTGAAATCCTCGCAAAAGAACGTTTCAGTACCTGTGAAGGTCAATGAGTTCTGGAAGCGTGCTTCTGAACAACAGTGGGATGTTAAAAACATCAGATCACGAATTAGCTCTCCGGCCGCTGCGTGTTTTTGTCACTGGTGTCTTTTCACTGAAGAAAACCGTTCCTTTGCCGGGAGATAGGTTTCTCGGGCACGGCGTTTGTACTGGGATTTAACTAAATAAATAATATCGTCTTAACTACTTGAAGTTGAGGTTAGACAATTCCAGAGGTTTGTGGAATCGTTGTGCTGTCTATTTGATTTGGATTATCGATTGTTATATCGAGCTCAATGTGTTCAGGATTTTACGGACCGTCTGTTGAGCGCGCGGAGTCGCTCGGCCGTCCGGCTCCCTAGGCGGTGAGCAGCTGATGGACCCGAGAGTCGCATCCAGCTCTTGGCAGGAAGCAGCGCGACTGCGGCACGGCTGGGCAGCTTGTCCCCCACCCCCACACGAACAGGCACAAGGGGGTCAGGGCTTCTGAACGGCAGTGTGGGGTTCACGGTTCAGTCGCTGAAAGCTTTGCCGGACGTGTCGCACCGCACGCTGGCCCAGCTGCCCGGGAGCAGTGGAGACGGGGTCGGAGCTCTTCCAGACAGACACCGGCGGAGCCGGGACGCGATTGGACCTGGTGCACTCTGACGGGAGAGCATCGCCCTCTTCTGGTGCAGATCTCTTTCACTCCACCGAACGCTTCACTCATTCTGCGTTTCCCGATCTACGGAAGCGCACTGCTGCCACCAAGGAAAAAAAACATCCTCGCCCTTATCTCGCAATTACGACAAAGCTATCGCGTAATTACCAGCTACTGTTTGTCTGTTTGTATATTGTCTTGATGCACTGTCTGCACTTTGTGTTTTAACACTTGTTTTAACAATCGAGAGACTTTCTTTAAGTAAGAATTGTATTGTACCAGTACATGTACCGGTTACATATGGCAATAAAGTTCAAGTTCAAGTTCGAGATAGTAATTCTCGCGTACTTTGTGATCACGCGATAGCACAACTGTCATATAGCACCTCTATCGCCACGTGCGGACTAGTGGGACTGATTGCACGTGTAACTAACTGTTCATAACGGAACCATCACTGATTTCATCTCTAAATCCCACAAAACTGGTCCTCATGCTTATAATGATTATGCTCACATTTGCTAAAAATTCCACGATTTTATTTTGACTAAACCCCACTGGAAAGCAAATCCGTACAAATTCTGCAGCGCTGGATACCGACACGATCGTAACCCCAACAGTGCCGGCCAGCGCCACGGAGGCTTCGAGATGCGTTCAGTGCACAAAGTGGCACACTGGAGTGATCACTGCTGCCTCGCAATTCCGAGCCTAGGCGCGGTGGTTTCCCTTGGTGGCAGCAATGTCGCTGTGCTGCACAGCCCTGGGGAGTTTCTCAGCGCACCGGCAGCCCTGACACAATGGAGGGCAGAGCTGAGAAGGGAAGGGAACACAGGCTGATCTCCGCTCCGCACACAGCACTCTGGACCAGCTCTGCCCAAACTTCACCTTTGACCCTGGTCTCACCCTCCCGTCTCCCAGCCGATCCATTCCCAGGGATCCTGAAGATCGCAGGGACTCCAGTCTGCCCCCAGGACTCCAGACAGTGGAGTGGGTTCCTGAGTGGAGTGGGTATCTGGGTGGAGTGGAGTGGTTTCCTGGGTGGAGTGGAGTGGGTTCCTGAGTGGAGTGGTTCCTGGGTGGAGTGGAGTGGGTTCCTGAGTGGAGTGGGTTCCTGGGTGGAATGGAGTGGGTTCCTGGGTGGAGTGGTTCGGTTTCCGAGTGGAATGGAGTGGGTTCCTGAGTGGAGTGGATTGTGTTCCTCAGTGGAGTGGAGTGGTTTCTACGCTGAGAAAGGTCACTAACCTTCAACAAACAAACCTGAGAATGATGGAGGAATCCTTTTCCTGTGGCTGAAGAAGACAGCAGTATGTCATGGCTGATTAGAGACAGCCTGTCTGTACAGCCCTCAGCAAACCCTTTTCTGCAAAAGAAACAGGTTGTGGATAGTGGCACCTGGGAAAATCTTAAAGCTTTTCCACTTCCACAGCGCAGACAATCTCGGTTAATGGAGTATATACAGTAAATGCCTGTGATTGTGCACCTTGTCACATCACCGCAGATCAGCTACTAGGGGGTGTGGTCAGTTTGAGGTTTGAGGATTCTCACCCAATCACAGAGACCAGGATCGCATTGGCCCCGCCTTCTGACCTAATTTCCTCCTCCTGTTTTCCAACAGTGTTCTTCCTCTGGGTGGGGAGAGGGGGGTCACTGCCAGTCAGCCAGACTGGGTGCAGCTCAGGCTGGGGGATTTCCTGGTGCTGGGACAGTGTCCTTCAGTCTTGGATGCAGGCGCTAGCAGTGGGAACAGACCTGTGCCAGGAGCAGTGACCATGCAGTAGCAGTGTCAGGCAGAGATGAACGCACCCCCTGGTCTAATTAAATCAAACATCCAGACAAGTAACCAACCATGTTAGTTTGCACCTCCCATCCACAATACTAGTGCCCTGCATTTCAGGTCCATTATTGTGTTCTGCTTTGTTCTGTACAGGAAGACGCAGGACAGTATTGAAGTTCTGCCTTGGTACTGGTTCCAGACTTTAACATGAAGACTCTTCCTCTCTCCTGAGACCACACTCCTCCTCTCTCAGTCCAGTGATCATCTCTCCCGAGACCACACTCTTCCTCTCTCAGTCCAGTGATCCTCTCTCCTGAGACCACACTCTTCCTCTCTCAGTCCAGTGATCCTATCTCCCGAGACCACGCTCTTCCTCTCTCAGTCCAGTGATCCTCTCTCCCAAGACCACACTCTTCCTCTCTGAGCACAGTGTGATCCTCTCCAGTGTATTATGTCATCATGGGTACACAGCAAACAAGGTTTGAATAACTGACCAGACTTAGCTACCTGCAGCCCTTCCAGGATAACCAAAAACCGGAACAGTAGGAGCACTCATGCCAGCACACCCCAACACCCAACTCACAATCACTGCGATACCCCAACACCCAACTCAC